TTTGCTTGTGTTACTTCTTTGGATAATTAATGTGACTTTTATCTTGTGACTTTTATCTTGTATTACATTAAAAATTACATTAAAAATCCATTAAAAATCAAATAGAGTTATAAATCATTTTTCAATCAAATCTGCAAATCAAAAGAAAGTAGTTCCAAATAAAAATGTGCCTATGAATCCAACTTGAATTAATCTATGAAGGTATTGGAAAAGATATAATCTTAGATAGAACTTAACTTTTTATAGAAATCTTCAAAATTTTAATCATATTTCATTAAACTTCTTAGGCATATTTATCCTTGTTTATTTTTTATTTATTGTGAAGGTAAATTTTATCCCTTAATCCAAATTATAAGTTGGCTATAATTAAGAATTTTTTTTATTAATAATATAAAGTGAAAGTAGCAAGAATAAGAACAAAAGAAATACAATACAAATAAGTGGAACAAGTGCAATCAAACAATTATATACTACAAAATTAATGACAATCTATTTACTAGATTTTTATCAAATATATATATATATATATATATATATATATATATAATAATAGATAATCTTTTATCTTTTTAATACTATAAGAAATATATAAATATAAATTAATATAAATAAATTATGATAGATTATAGATAGAAGATAAATAATAAAAAAATCATATGAATAATTTTTACGTCAAGGATTACTTGCTTAAGAGATCAAGAGCTCAAGCCTCACCAAGCTCATAAGTAATGTATATGGATTTCTAAGAGAGGCCACAAGGCCTTAGTCTTATCTTCCTAACTACCTTCAAGGTGCTACAATCCATATGGAACTTATGCACTTCCTTTTTTATAAGGACTATACTAGGTGTTGGTCCTCCTATTTTCTATTTGTAAAACCAATATTTTCATATTTTTGACTTTACTATGGTGATTAAAAACACTGAGTGAATATAAAAACCTTTTGTGGCCTTCAAATCGTAATCCATTTCTTCATAATGGCTTCCAAAGTGGTAAAACTCATTTTTACTAAAGTCTAAAAAATTGATCTAAAAATCCCAAATAAATTCTAAATAAATTTTAAATAAATTCTAAATAATTAACATAATACTTTTATAATATTAATATAAATTTAAAACAATATTTTTTCTACTTTGGTGATTTTTTATAGTGATAAAATTAATTTAAATTAACTATAAATCATATTTTCTATATAACTAATTAAAAAGATATGAAGTTCTTTTCACGCTTCTTCTATCTAATAATTTATATAATTTTTTATAAATAATACATGTAGATTAAAAGCTAATATGAATACTGATCTTAATAAATAATCTTTAATATTCAATAATAAGTGAAAATACTAAATCAACTAAGATAATTTTCTCTAAGACTTATTAAGATTTTATTTCTATAAATAGTATTTTAATTTTCTATTTTTTTAAGGATTTCTATGCTAATTACCATATATTGTGATTTTAAGTACTCTAAATGTATCTTTTTGTTCTAAAATAATTAGTCAGTTGATTTGATAACTTATACTTTTAGAAGCAACGATTCCTAGATTTGGTTGTGATGTTAGTTTACTTTCTTCTCTTAACTACACAACTTTTTGACATAGATTTTGGACTCGTTCTATAGGCATAAAAATAGTGCTCCTATGATTGGCATTGGTGATGTGTAAAATTTCTACCTTAAGAGTGTTGATGAGTTTGTGAAGATTTGTGATAGTCAACCTTCTTACTTCTTTTAAATATAACATTCATGATTTTTTCTCCCATTTCAAATAACTTAATAAATCTACAAATCAAATAGAAGAGAGTAATTTGTGATTTTTAATATCAAATAAAAATTTCTACAAGGATGGATGATCTACTCTCTTTAAGAAAAAAAATCAAGGTTTAAAAAACAAAGAATATTAGTTCAAATATAGATAATCTATAATCTTTAAAATACAATAATAGAAGCGAAGTGATCTATTTACTTCTAAAAATAAGATAAATATAAAAAATTATGATTCTTATCAATTTTTTAAGGATAACAAGATTCATAAACAAGTAAAAAATGAATCAAAGAAATATGAAAAAATAAAAATAAGAAACAAAATATATCTAATAAGAAACTAGAATGGCTATTGCCAAAGATTAAAAAAATAGAAATGCTTGAAATTAAACTAGAAGCAAGAGAAGAATTGACAAGAGTGAAAAAGGCTTTATTCTTGTCTCTATATATATTGTATATATAAGTAATACATGGCAACGTTCTACAAGACCTCCAACATGTGTCCAATTTGTGAGATACATATTTTAACTTGTAAGAGAAGTTTCCTATATGTGTTATGTATATTGTCTATATAAGTGCTACATAATAACATTCTACAAGACCTCCAATACGTGCCTAATTTGTGAGACACATATCTTAACTTCCAAGGCAAGTTTCTTATATGTGTACCACATCATTAATTTATACCACAAACTATTAATATATTTGATGTGTGGCTTTTTAGACACATATTATTTGAATAATTATAGATATGTCTATAATACATATTGACCCAGATTGAATAGTATTTAATCTTAAAACCATAATTGGGCCACAACTTCTTTAGACACTTCAATTATACCTAAACTAACCACCTTTAGATTTTCTTTTGTTGTTTGAGTAATATGGGATATTTTTATATATTATATGTATATTTGTTCTAAGTATCAACTACATAAATCACAAGGAATCAAAAGATCAATACTTTCTTATATTATTTGAGAAAAATATATAAGTATTCAAAGATTGTATAATATTAAGCTAGAATGGATATTACAAAAGAAAAGAAATTTAAAAACTATTGAAATAAAACTACGAATAAAAAATATATTAACAAGAATAAAGAAGATTTCTTTTTTTCTTTCATATATATTATCTAAGTAGGAGCTATATGACAATGTTTCAAAGGATCTTTAATACACATCTAACTTGTAAGACATGTGTCTAACTTATAAATTAGGTTTCTTGCATGTGCACTAATTTGTATCACAAGTTACAAACTTGTGCAATATAAGACTAACTTATTGGCCAAATTTTCAACCTATCAATCACCTAAAAATACTTGTAAAGTTAAATCCACATCTTTAAAGCTTCTTTAGATATTATTAAATCTATTTACTTCTATTTAATTCCTTTAATTTAGATAAATATGTATGTTAGTGACACCAAGTATATTTTGAAGTAGTTTCAATCTTAATTCCTAATATTATATTAATTTAGTATTAATAACTTATATCTAATAAAAAAAATGTTCTCAAACTTCAAATTACTTTTATTTAATGCAAGATTAAGAAGCATGTTTAAATTTTTATATTTCTAAAAATTAAGTATATTACTTATATATCATGCTTGAATTAAATATCAATCTAATTAGACATATAACAAATTGTTTTGAGATTTTAAGTTGCAAAGTTGACAATGAAGAAAAATATCTTTTTTTAATTATATTATTTAGGCATTAATGACTAGTTTATAATAATAGATAAACCAAATTAGCATTATTTCTTTACATGCCCTTGGTTTGAATTAAAAAAATTTTAACTTACATTCATTATTATTAAAAAAATTATCTTATTATTTAAATATAATTATTTTTTATATTTCATAATATTTTTATTAGAATTTTTATCAAATTTAGTAATATAAAAAATAATATTAATTTTTTATTGCTAATAGAATGTTTGTTAATCAACATTATTTGCAACCATGCCAAAGACTAATGTACCATCTTTATAATTTTGCATTAATAACCACTTTTATAACTTTTTAAAAATCTTTGGCTTCTACTAAATTTGATGCTTGAGTATTGATTAATCTTATATTTTGTATAAATAAAAAAAATTGTGTTTAAATTAAAGAGTCTTGATTACTTTTTAATTAAGAATATTTTTTATTTTTAAGAACTTATGCATACTAAACCAAATATAAGAATTGATATTAAATTTAAAGTTGGCTAGTTAAAAGATATAGTTTGCCAAGAATGCTTCTTTTGAGCTATGGAGTCTAATGTAGTCTTTAATTTGAGGAGACAGTATTCTATTATCTAATGTGAACTTCTAAGTTTCAAAATAAATATTTGATAAATATTATCATAAATGAATTTTTTTTTTTTGTCAAGATCAAAACTTTGGCTAGTTTCTTCAAATATTATAAATGAGTTAATTCCTAAGCCACATACACTTCAAGGTTTACAATATACTATTTAGACGACTTTAACATAGAAGAGAGATTAAGTCTTTTTATTAAAAAAATCATAATATAACACCTTATTTTTCCAATTATGTTTTTGGGATCTACTTTAAATTAAATTAAAGTAAAAAAGTAAGTAGAGGAGAGAGGAAGGTTGTTTACTATAATAACCCTCTCAATCACATTAATTCTTATACTTCTTAATTTCTTAGTTCTTTGTCCTTATTACTCAACAACATTTGTGAATATTAGAGAGAGAGTAACTAAAGAAAATACATTCTATATAAGCTGAGGGAATCCATGACATTGTTGGACAAAAAATAATAATAATTAAAACACAAACATGACATATCTGAATGCAGAGAAAATTAAAATTCTTTGTACCATACATAAAAATCTTTGTAAAACATACATGCATTCCTTAACAATTCACAACTTTCACTATCAAAGTGTGTTTTATAAACTATTCCCCTATATTAGTATCCCTACCATATGTATATATATATATATATATATATCCATATACATATACATATTCACTTATGTTCTATTTATGTTTATGCATACTGTCTATTATTTGTATAAAGTATCTAATTCCCACAGTAGTGGGAGTGGCATATCGAAGCTGGAGGCATCCGCATCCTCTGTCAGCTCCCATGTTGCGGAGCAACGTGGAGCTGGTAGCCGGGACGAATCTCCACAACAGTGGCGAACCCAGTCGCAGGTGAGAACTCACCGCCAGATGTGAGTTGTGAGAAAATAATCGTCACAACGCGCACGATTCCTAAAGCCCCACCTCTGAGGGAAAGAGTATCGCAAGCACAGACTCGAATTCACCTGTGTCCGTGCCAATGTCGTACCGATTCGATAGGCTCCAATTAGACCCACCGTAGTGATGCAGCCGCGAATCTTCGCAATGTTCCAGTTTACCGAAGGTGTCGCGTTGTGACGCTTGTGGGTAACGAGTGAAAGATGTCAGGCTTTAGCGATGCGATGGATCCTGGGTCGTGAGCAGGTTGGACGCGTTGGAGGTTTGGAGAATCGCTGGTGTTTGGGGCAGTTGGGTCACCTTGTGTTCAATTTGTCAAGGACTTCGTGGCGAGATCCTGTTTGTGTGAATGTATGTCAAGAGCCGCTTTCGTTGCCACTGCATTTTTTACATATACGCCAGTAGGTTCCTTAGAGCCCATCAATTGGGGCACTTTCTGAAGCTTTAGCGGGACTTGCACTGTATGTTGCGTGGTCATTCACCTCTTCGATGCCTGGTCGACGGCATCTGTCTGTCTGTACGAATTTCGGCTCGGATATTGAATGGCCCACGGGCACACCTTGTTTTAGGTTCGACTTGATGCAATCCGCATTTGATGCTCCACCGGACACGGTCGTAGGCGGGAGTTGTTGGGTACGTACAGTATTTCCCAAGGGGAGGATTTGAGCAAATGTCGATGTTTATTTTTCTTTAGAAGGAGTTGGAATTTCTGTGTTGGGTAACTGCAAGCTCAACGTGCCCACGTATCATCGGTCACGACACTGCGCTGGTCTAGACAGGAGGTTTGGCAGCGGGTTAAAACAGTGACGCTTCTGAAGGAACTGACAGGATCAAGGTACTGCATCATCTTCATTCCATAGACAGTCGAATTGATGTCACAGATTACTTTGAAACATCTTTACTTAGTAATGATATTTACGGATCCTTCAACGAATTGTTTTGAAGCTCTTAACGATGTGCACAGAGCTGTACGTTTGCTGAGGATCATGGATGTGGTAGGTGGTGAGTAGCTAGACACAGAAGTCCTTTATGGCAAGTTTGGCGAGGTTGTGAATTGACAGACATCAAATCTGATTTTCAGGAAATAGAAATTCCTGCCATGGCTATTACTCAACCAGAAGAAGATATTGAACCTACAGGTATTTCGATTTTCTTCAGTGAATGCTGTTCTCTCTTTCATAATTCTCTTGCTGCATAAGATCTGAAGTCCATCCTTAACCAACAGAGTCAGGCTCTTGGTTGCAAAGAATCGACTTCTGCGACGGAGCAATTAATTCGTCGCGTGCACATTTGGTGGCTGATGCCGGTACTCTCCTTTTGATCGTTGCAGGAACGAAGACGAAATGGCAAAGATTCAAGTCCAAATACTTTCGGATGAAAATGCTCATATGGTGGACATTACTGGGAGTAGCGCTCGGCATCATCTTGGGGGCTGCTCTCTACTCAGTCCATCCGTCCTCAGTTGTCATAACACTCATAGGTATGTGCATCCAACCTCCTCTGCTCATCAAACATTTGCACTGCATCATTCCCTTTTGAGAACTTTGGAACATGATCACGGTTTCCTCATGTCGCACATCCTTGTTTGGTTCAGGTTTTTTTGGGAGGAACTAATCTATTACAGAATGGCAGGCTATCCTGGAGAGCTGCTGATCCGGGCACTTCAGGAACTGGTCCTACCTCTCATGGTGTTTGCTTTGATGAGCGGTGTATTCAATCTACGGCACTCTGGAAGCGGGTGATAAGAAGCGTCATAATCTCAGCATCTTTCAATTGGTCACTCGACAATCTGTAACTTAGCTTTGAAACGCGTGATTCTGAGCGTGACTAGATGCGAAAGAAATTTTATAAAGAATTGGATTGCTAAGAGAGCAAAAGTTGGGTTGTCTTTGTACAGAACTGGACGCATAATTCGGTGGTCTCTGCTGTACTACTTACTTTCTATGATACTGGCAGTTATCTTGGGCATTGCCCTTGTGTTCATCATCCGGCCTGGTCGAAGTCGTCCCTTCGCTGCGAATAACTTCGCCAACTGCAACTCTAACGTTACGGCCACGTATGGTTCTTCAGACTTCATTATGATGCACTTTGGAAGTATTTCTTCAATATGTTTCTTGCCATTATTTGGAGCTACAAGTTGTGAGTTATTTTACATCATACTTGCAATGGTGCAGGGGAGCCACACGTGCGGACAAGTCAGCAGTAGATTCATTGCTCAACATTGGACGTGACATCATCCCCACCAACATCGTTGCTGCAGCGGCAGCCCCCAACTTCTTGGGAGTCATCACGTTCGCGATTGTTTTCGCAGCTGGTCTCATCACATTCGGTAGAATTTTCTGGTTCTCTCAACTGCTGCCAATCTGCTCCTTCTTTAAAATAAGAAACCTCGTCTAACTAGTCACGAGGATGAGAAGCTCGAGTATAACTTGGGTGAGTTTATGTCTAGGCTATTGTAGGTTTGTACCTTGTTCTGAGTTTTGAACTTGTCGGTGGAATTTTGCAGGGCAACGAGCTGAGCCTTTAATTCAAATACTTGAAATGTGCAACGAAGTCTTCATGAAAATCGTAAGCTCAAATTGAAGACATTCTTCACTAATTCGATTTCTCTGTTTAAGCTAGTGAATTGCCTGTAAGTTTTAATTTCCCTAATTTTTACATGTGCCACTAGCTCCGAACCAGCGTCCTCATCGTTGCAATCCTTGTGCAGATCTACGCAGTGATTGCGTGCACACCGATTGGAGTGGCATCGTTGCTGGCAAGCACCATCCTGAAATCATGCAGCATCATAAGCCTGCTCAAAGCTCTGGCACTCTACGTTGCTACAGTGTTAGGCGGCTTTTTGATTCATTCCTTCGTGCTTCTACCCCTCACTTTGATTGTTTTGTCGCAGAACAATCCCATAAAGGTCATAAGGTACCCGGCTGCTGCACGCCCTCCCTGAAATCTGTACAAAAGACTTAATTAACCGCGTGATTTTTTGCTTGGTCCCAATGCTCGACCCTTGTTGTTTGCCCACAATTCGATGTTCTGATAATCATGAATGGTGCAGATCGTTTCTGCCCGCGATCTTCGTCGGTGTGGGAACATCTTCAAGTGCGGCTACCATGCCAGTGACCATGAAATGTGGAGAGGATTATGGTTGTGTCCCCAGCATAGTGCGCTTCGTGGTCCCAATGGGCACCAACGTTAACCGTGATGGAGCAGCCCTATACGAAGCCGTGTCGGTGATTTTCATCGTTCAGGTGAGCAGCGTCACTTTATGTTGGTGAGCCTTCTGAATTAGGATAAGTAGACACTATGAGCCTGAGTTCAGTGAGAGTTGTCGCATGTTCTTCAGTCATTAACTAAATTTAACATGTAGCTCATCGATGCATCGTTAAGTAGAATCCAATGCATGGAGGTAGTTTCGAAGAGCCGATACTTAACTTGGGACTATTGATGGCTTTCTGAAAGTTTCTTCAGTAGTCAAGGCAGCTGGAAATCTCCCCATTTTGTTCTTTTTTTTGTGTTTTTTTGTTTGTCTATATTAAAGTCTTCCCGAGCATAAAGACAGGCTTTTTGTAATGGCAGGCACACGGATTAACTCTCTCAGTCGGCAATGTGATAGTAGTGGCCTTAACTGCAACACTGGCAGCCATTGGATCAGCCTCCATTCCTAATTCTGCTCTTGTTTCTATGATTACTGTGCTCCAGGTCAGTATCACCACTACTCTAATTATTCCGATTTGCTGTCTTCTCCTTAATACCCAATTCATACTCCGAGCATTATTAGGAAGTCTATTCTTCAACATGGCTTGAGTTTAATTTCCTTTTTCTCGCATGTTTCTAATGGTTTCCATCCTTGAATTGTCTATGAAGGCACTTTCCCTACAAGAATATATCCCCGATGTAGCAGTGTTATACTCAGTGGACTGGCTGCTGGGCATGATTCGAACTGCAACCAATATCTGGGGCGATGCCTGTGCTTGTGTGGTGGTGGACACCTGGGCTCGACGCCATGCCAAGAAGAATGGCACTTTGCCAATCAAAGTAAGTCCTGGACTTTGTGTGCAAACAGTCTTAGCAATTCGTGTAGAAATCATACGTGTTGTTTTGCAAGCTTTAGATATGCTGGATCAATTATATCAAATATTGTGTGCATGCATGGTTCAAAAGAGTGTAGGCTTTTGTGCCTCAAGTGCACAAGTTTAAGTGAAAACTTATTTCTGGGGCCTGTATTCCAGAATCCTGAACCGCCAGCAGAACAGGAGATGGCAATGGGCGTAGATTCAAGTAAGAAAGACGAGGTCATCTAACGCACCCATCTGTAAAATTACAAAAGAGTATCTCCGGCAGTCCCACAACATTTTCGTTGTACTACCAACGGACCCTTTCAACTTCATGAACATAGGCTGGCATATCCAGAAAGTCTCAGAAACTTCACAAAAAAACCATTTAGTGAACTGCACGAACCAAAGCAGTAAGTGGAGTGAAATGTGAGAACAATTCATGTAGGCTCCAGAATAATGCCTTGATGTAAGGGGTCCATCGTGCAACTGATGGAGAATGGTATTTAGAATTTGAGTTTTTTTTTTTTTTTTTTTTTTTTTTTTTTTGCATCGTGGTTGTATCGTCTTGATACAAGTTTGCAATTTTAAAAATGTACTGGTCGATTGGAATGTGATTTTTGGCGTTTTCTTCAAACAATGGACCTTCCTGGTGTAGTTGCATGCTTGGATCGCTGGAGCTACCTTGATTCAATGATGTTGGTGACAATTTAGAAACTAGTTCTTCAATGAACACCAAAAATCCAATAGTTTTCACAAGATGAAGAAGTGTAAAGTATATCAACTTTTAATAATATCACAAGGCCATAAATAAAATATGTCGTAGATCTACTCCTAATATCACCAAGTAATAAGAGTTTCTTTTAAAGTTGTGATACCAAACACATTATAACTTTTCATTTATTTAAAAAATAATATTGGTTTTATAAAGACTTCATTTTAATTTTAACATTGTAATTTTAAAAGTTGTAATTACAGAAGTGAATTATTTCAAATATATATATATACATATAATTAATTTTAAAAATAATTATTTACTTATTTATTTTATAATTTATTAAAAAAAACTTGCATGGTGATTGTGAACAAAAATAAATTAAAGTTCAAGAACGAACATTAATTAATATTTGCATACATCAAAATAATCAAACTTTTTTTTGGTACATTTGAAAGATTTTAAAATTGCTTTCACATTTCTATAAAAAATAATAATAATGTTAATTCTATTAAAACTTGTTATATATATATATATATATATATATATATATATATTAAATCAATTATATCCTACATGGTAGTTTTATACTTTGTAAATAGAAAAAAACAAAAGAATATTAAAAGCTTATAATACAGATTATTTTTTTACTTTTTTATTTTTAAAAGAAAATCTTTACATAAGAAAAGATCTGTTATATCTTCAAAAATATACACAAATAAAAATAACAATTTATCTCTTCTTTTAAACAATAGTTTCTAATATCAAGATTTAATGCCTACATTATTATAAAATAAGAGGTAGTTATAGAGAATGCAAGAAATTAAAAGAAAGGTGGTTTATGCATCTTCTTGTGTCTTTTTGTTATCTTATATTGCTACATAGCAACTACAAAATTATAATTCTAATAGTTTGCAAATTGTAATTATTACTTAATATATTCTTGTCACAAATTGTTTTAAAATCTTGTTGCAGCTCAACAATTCTTATTTGTAGAATGTTATAGATTGCTGTAGTTGCCCTACACACATATTTTTACTCTATTGAATGTTTTAGCAAATAAGTACAAAAATCTTGTGAATTCATTGATTTTTCTAAGATTAATTTATATAATTTTTAGTTGATATCCTCTTCTCTAACAATACTTAATTGTATCTAATTTTTGGAATATATAAATATTCTTAATAGATGGAAAAATAATATTTCAATTAAAATTATTATAAAACATTGAAAAAGAAGAGTTTTAAGAATGAAAGTTTTATATAAAGAAAAAAAAAAGAAACATAGCTGAGGCATGTTGAAACAATTAAATACAAACTTGATTGATTAAGTTCGAAAAGAAAAAATATCATTAATCTAAAGGTAAAACTTCATCTTTTATACAAGATAAACATGTATAAGAAATATTTTTTACAAACCTTGTTGCTTACATGAAAAAAGTGTAGTATTTGTTATCTAGAAAGCCAAAATCATGTTCCAATAAATTTTATAAAAGCTCAAGTCACTTGATAACATAAATTTTTGTGCTCATAATAAATGATCAAACCCCTTGATAGCGTTATTATTAAGTTGAAAAAGAAAAAGAAAAAGAAAACGTAGAAAGAAAAGGTAGGAGCCTCAGTCGGCGCCTCACGGTCGCCAGTCCACCCTCCATTCGTTAGCCTGTTGCGCTTTGGAGAGGAGAAGAGACACGCCCTCACGCAGGCTTTGGAAGGGTTTTTGTTGAGCGATTCCTCACTCGCAAGCTCCGACTGCAAAGCCATGGACGACGACGACGAGCTTCCCAAGCAAGCCGCAATGCGTACCTTCGCTCGTCTTCGCCCTCACTGTACCGATCTCCTGGCGAAGGTCACCACTCGTCCCGATGAGTGTTCGCAGGCGTTGATCGCCCTGCAAGCGGTTATCACCAAAGAGCCCGCTCTCGGTCTTCAACCATGCTTGGAGTAAGCATATCATTAGACTGACTCTTGCTGCCTTCGAGGATGTTTTTGTAGGTTTTCTGTTTCAACATTGGCTTGCCGAATTTGCTGTTTCCCTCCTAAGTTAATACGTCGAGTAGGAGTAGTTAATTAGTGGAGGGTTTTCTTCAAGGGAAACATGGAAATTGGACCTTCTCCATTGCATTTGACGAGAATCGATTTGACAGGGTTTTTTCATTTGCAGCATGTTGCACTTGAAGAAGGTTTGGATTAGTCTTTGTAAATAATGCCTGATTGCTAGCGTGAAGGGATTGCCCTTCACTTGAAATGTTTATTAATTTTGCGATCGCCTTGTTGATTTGACATTGTTTACTGTTGTGAATTACAGCTATCTGTTGTTTCCTATCTTGCTACTTCTGGATGCGGCTGTTGCATGCCGAGCGAACAAAGTTGCACAAAAAGAGTACACGCGCCTACATGTAGGCGACAAGGTGGCCGAGAGAGCGGTAGTCTGCTTGACGACGGTGCTGGAGAAGTGCCCTTGCGAAGCAGTAGCGCAGGTGCAATTCGTATGCCTTGTTGATTGATTAGTTTGTATTAGTATAGAAGTTTTGTATTTGCAGTTTAGAATTAGTGTGCGGATTCAGGATCTTTAACTGTTCACATTGTTGCGTATGGTTTTTCATTACTTTTAATTTTTACAAGCCTGTTTGTTTGTTCCCACAGTTGACCACTTTGCTTCGCAAGTTGACGGGAGCTGCCATGATGTCTCCAGCAGAGGCCTCAGAGGAGTTTCGGCACGGTACAGTTTTGTGCTTACGGTCTGTCTTCCAGGCTTTGCAACCATGTAAATCCTCCTCTTGCAGCTGTAAATATGTTCTTCCGTCAGTATTTGACATGTTGAAGCAAGACTCAGGAGATCCGTACGAATCGTACACTCACCCTGCACAAGAAGAATATACCGCTGATGAAGAGCTTACACCAGTTGATTATGTGGCACCAGAAGTTTGCCCGTTAGGCTATCTACAATCGCTTGACATGGCTCCTGCAATAGGACATCTTCTGTCTTTACTTCTGCAGGTGTGTTGGACCTTGGTTAGATTATTTACAATTGGCTCTTGTATCCTCAATTCAGTCACAAAATTCTGTTTCATTGGAAACAGCAATTTGATCTATTGAAAGCTTGTGCTGTTTCCTTACAAATGAGCGAATTATTATGTCTTTCTTCTCACTGATTGACAACTATGTTAACGGACTATTGTATTCCAGATTGCGGATACAGAGGCAACACTAGGGGGTATCGGTAATGGTAAACTGCGAGAGGATGCTCTATCAACGCTTCGCGTTATTCTTTTAAAGGTGTAGTTTGCGCTTCACTCTTCATATCATTTATTAATTGCATTTTTCATACTCCGTGTGGTCATTCTTGGGAATCTCATCTTTTGTAGAGTTTCTGACAAATCTGTAGATTGACATCTTGATATTGCTCTATGCCGCATGTGTCCTTGAGAAGGTCTATCAAGGGGTTGTTCTTAGTGAGTGAATTGACTCTACTGCAGGTTGGTAATGCAGACGCTCTGGCATTTTTTCTTCCAGGGGTGGTGAGTGGCCTGACGAAAGCAATACGCAGTTCCATGGTCACAAGCACACGGTCTGTGTTAACAGCAACTTACAAATCTGTGGGGGCAGCAGGAAGCACTGGAGCTTTAGAAGAAAGTGTAAGAGGATTAGCGGAAGCGCTTGTACTGGTATTAGCAGATTCCCGCAACTGGGCCTGCCTTTCAGAGATGGACCCTGGGTCTAGTGATTCAGATCCCAGTATTGATCAAGTGGAGACAGCTCTTGAAAATCTCCAGGTACTACTCAAAGAGGATACAGAAAGAGCCGGGGAATCTCTGAAGGTAAATGTGCATGGGGATTCCAAGGAGAATACTTTACGAGTTGGTGGTAGTGCCCATGATAATAAGGAAGTAACCAAAGCAGGAGAACCAACACAGGGCTTGCCACTTCGGTTGGATCGTGATCGAAAATGGTTAGAATCGACTACTGCGCGTTTAGAATCTATGATGTCTGTGAACCTACCTTTGGTAAGCGATCATCATCTTGATATTTTGATATCTTCTTGGGTATTGCTTATGTGTCCCGCAAGTATCGAAATTTCTTTTTGTGTCGTCATTTGAAAATCTGCAGCGCACAGATTTTGCACTTGTCTGTGGTACATCTTATTGGGCAGTCATGTTTATTTTTCATTGTTGTTGGTTGTTGAATATATAGCTATGTGCGCATCCTTCTTCGGCGGTGAGATTAGCAGTTGAGGAATCTGCTGCAGTGCTTCTTTTTTCTTGTGGTGTCACTCTTGAGAGGTGCACTTCATTGTTTCTGGTAAGATGAATGTTTTTTCTCCAAAAGTACAAATATTCTTTTGATAGCGGGTCAATATCCACATTTTTCCTCTTCACTGCAATAACTTGAGAAGTTGAGTTGTCCCCATCATGCTGCAACTTAGCCTGAGACTAGATACTTTGTAAATTAGTCCCTAGTGAGCCTGCATATGTCCATACATCTGATTGCTGGTATCGTTGAACTACGATGATTCTGGAACCTTACATGAGAGCACCGCTGCATGCTATAGGAGTGCCTGTTGGCGTTAGCTTGTGATGATTGGCAACATGTTGCATCAGCAGCGAGTTCAAGTCTCGTGCATCTCTTGTCTGTCGATGTGGCTCTATGTAGTCGGGAAAAACAAGGGGAATCAATGCATCGGTCTCGGTGCATACGCAGGTCGAAGATCCAGAAACAGGCTATCTTGAATCTTATGCAGAGGTATGCTTTTCTCTGCATGGATGGAAATTTTGGACATTTGAAAAAGCATCTAACTTGAGGACAATGCTAACTATTAGGAAGGCAGTGGGTAAGGCTCATTCAACGTCGTATATCCAGTTAGATTCTTTGGATTTATTAGAATATGCATTATACGCTTTGCAAACATCTTTTACAATTTAGTTCTATAGTTATTCTTGAATGTACTGTGGTTGCACTTGGAGTCTGTTTTTTGATTGATTCTTCTTGGAAGAAATGTCTTAAAGTCCACAACAATCAGCCATAATTTCATCATTTTTTTTTCTAGACAGCCTCTCTTGGATTTAGGATCTATATGAAACCGCGTGAAACTTGTATTCACTAATGTGATGAGATTTCCTGTCCTGCAAGATTGCTGGAGAGGCTTCCTCAAGCAGTGTTTTCAGGAAACGAGACTTTAGCAGTTCTGCACGCACGGCGGTTAGCTGCCGCCCTCTATTTTGTTGGGCCTGAAGCACTTTGCTCATCTTTCCTTGAATCTTTGGTGAGAATTTCCATCCTATTACACTGATTATTCCAGACACTGTGGGTGCTAAATCTTTGTGAGTGTAGAATTACTGTGCACAGTAACTGCTTTTTTCATGGCATTGAAATACTTAAGAACAAGGAAAAGAGTGGTTGTCTTCCTCATAAGTTGACACAACCTACGTTGACTCTGGATTGTCGCGTAATTTTTTCGCTTCTTCAAATTTTGACGAGTGATTATTTCAAAATGATTCTCACAGGAATCTTGTCAAAGGTTTGTAAACATTATGTTGCAATGTTTGAGCTTTTCCTCTGCATTCGCTGGACCCATCGACCTGAGCGTTTTGAGCACTGTACCAAAATCTCCAGCCCTTTTGGCCATATCCATTCCTACGATAGGCATCGAGGATGAACAGCTAGATACATCACAGAAGCAAAAAGAGCAAAAGCCGGAAGAAGTGGCACCAGCGCACCTCTTGCCACGTATGCCACCATGGCTTTCCCAGAATTCTCAAAGGGTGTTCAAAGCTCTTGCAAGCATCATCAGGCTTGTTGGTCGAGCTGCTGGCTCTGGTAAACTGATTATTTGATTATTGACTGCTGTTTACATTGTTAATTACTTACAGCTTGCGCACATGAATACATCCTTATTACTAAAAGATAAGTTAAATGATTTTTATGTGTAGGTAGACCTGGGGATCCTGCCTTAGTGCGTGTGGTGGAGGCCCTCTTGGGAATTTTACAACAAGGGGCAGATGAGCTCAGCCAACAGCAGGAACGAACATATCAGAGCGTAGACTTTGGCTTTGGTCAACCACAACGTGCATCCGCTGTATCAGCTTGTGTTCTCAATGAACTTGTCTGTGGTGCCTCAGGGGTCTGGAGTCATGAACTTGTTAGTCTCTTTGGAGGTCGAACTTCCAAAGAAGCATGTGGTTTTGAAAAATGGAAGTTTGAGAATGACATTGAAGTTAAGGCCCGCATATCGGAATGCGTGGGCAGCATATTGCATGATTATCTCGTACCCGAATTATGGGACCTTCCGGTAGATTCTGCAGCATTTTCTGATCGTGGTTCCTCCATGGTTGACATGGCAATTTTGCATGTTCTTCAAGACAATGCCATGCTCCAGCAGGTTGGTGAAATTGATCTTGTCACGCTTATTTTTTCTGTGCTTTTCTGACGTGGGCTTGTGGAGTAGGATTTTGTTTTGGTGCTATCATGTAGAAAATGTCCTCATCCTTTTGAGTTATTCTTGATACAGGTTCTTGTGGAAGGGATTGGTGTTTTTGGTCAATCCCTTGGAAAAACATTCGAGGATGAAGGATACCTGGCTCTTGTGTTGTATCCATTACTGGAAAAGCTTGCCTCAACTAATAGTAATGTTAGCTATGCAGCGGATCTTGCACTGCGAACCATTTGCTACCATAGTGGATACCTATCGGTAAGTGATACTTCTGCGGGAATGATTCTTCTACGTTATGCCAATTTCGAATTATCAAATGCCATTTTGTTGGTTTCTGATAAGACTTTTATCCAAATGCAGGTCAAAGAGTTGGTGATTCAGAATGCAGACTATGTGGTTGACTCTTTATGTAGGCAGCTCCGGCATCTTGAACTGCATCCGCATGCCCCGTCTCTCTTGGCAGCTATTCTTAGACACACTGGCGCTGCCCCACACCTACTACCCCTTCTGGAGGAACCTGTATGACTTCCAACCTTGTCTTACTCGGTTCTTAACGTTCTATTTAGGTTGCATTTTCTGATCAGCTTCAGTATCAGTTCATTGAGAACATATTTGACCATTAATTTTTGTTTGTACTACAATTGCAGATGCAAGGTATTGTTTTGGAACTAGAAATTCCAGCAAGAAATAGGCATCCGCAGTATACAATGCCGCTCCTACGGGTATGTTCTTCATCTTCTTTTGAATGTTGTAAACTCTATTCTACCTGGTGCTCTACAGACCCTTTATACAAAATTGTAACGGCACATATCTGATGTATCTTTTGAGTCGTAGTCGTTTAACTGTTTCAAATGTCAGTAGTTAATTTTCCTCTTGACCAGGATTGTGCTACCTAGCAAGGAAGCTTTCTAAATTATTGTTTGTGCGTACTGGCGTCAGATTATTTGAAGTAAATTACGTAGGTGAGAAGTCAATATCTTGAATTATATGATGTTGGGCAGTGCATACAGGGTGCTCTTCTACATGATTGGTTCTGTTAAACACACAACTATTAATACATTGCAATCATGTTTCAGGCACTTCGTGAGATTGTCAAAGCAGCACGAGTCGAAGGTCGTGCTATGTTATCCGAAGCCATGAGAACTGCCGACGAAGTGAAAGCTACCTTGGCAGAAGAAGTGGATGTGCATTCTGAGGCAGGGCAAACGCTCATTGAACAAATGATTTCTGAAATTCAGGATAGAGAGAGACGTCGCAAATCGGTGGCGTCAGTCGGCACATCCTGTCTCCATGCATGTGCGCCTTTGTTGGCTTCTCAAGATAGTCAAACGTGCCTTACTGTGCTAGGTGTAATTGAGGTGGGTGGAATTGTGGTGATGCATTGCAGATGAATGGACTTAGAGAATGAGCTCTTAAGTTGCAACTTCTAGCTTAGAATAAGAGTCAGTATCTTATCGAATATGCAACTTAGATGTGAATTAAGTGACCAACAACATACATTATTGAAGGTTATGGATGGGAAGCTTGATCTTAAGTTACATGCAGGATGGAATAGCGGGACTGGCAGACATGGAAGCAACGTTTCCCTACCTACAAGTCCAGCGTACTGCAGTTGAAGCCTTTCTCAAGGCCGCTACGAGTGAATTTGATGACCCAGATGCTGCAGAGCCTTTTGGTGCGCATGATGAATCGAGTAATCGAAATAATTTACTCTTACCGAGTATGAATCAAATGTGGCCACAACTAGTTCCTTGCCTTCGTCATACCCAGCCCGCGGTATAAGTCTTTGTCCCTTTCATTGACTTGAAATATTTGCTTCGAGGGGTTATTTGTCTTATATATTTTTAAAGATATTTTAAAGAAAGAATATGTTTCAAAGTATGCTGCCTTGAACATTCCCTCGATGAAGAGTTAATAACTCAAGTGCACGGTATCTACAACCTTGTACAAGTTTCTCTCAGAAGCGCTTGTCTCACTGGATTTGTCATAAGTTTCCTAATTCACTGAACTATTTGCGTTTTCAGGTCCTCGTGCGAGTATTGGAAGTTATGTCTAGTCTTATTACCATCTGTGGCGGTCAATTCTTCACCCGCCGCATAGCTAAGGATGCCCTTCCATTTTTGTTAAAACTTCTCCGTGAAGGACCTTCCTTGTATACAAATCGTCCTTCTGATGCCTTAAGACCCAAGTCTAGTAAAGAATTGCTGCTGCTGAGGAATCAAGGGAAAGAGATGCAGGAAAACGGAATATCACCAGCGGCTGTATTGAAAGTCCAGCAAGCAGTGCTGAAGTGTATAGGGGTCATTGCAGGGGATCATAAGAGCGCGAGCGCACTTGAAAGTTCATACAAGCCAATTGTGTCGTGGATTGTGGTCCTGGCCTGTAAAGTAAAGGCCCTGCGAGCAGCAGCAGCGGAAACCCTTGTTGCTCTTTCAAACCTAGACTCCGACCTGGTTTGGCTTATTGTGGCAGATCTTGTTTACGGTACGACTTTTCACCTTCTGGAACTCAACATTCCTAATACGTTATTCTGATTCCTTCTAAATAGATTTGCATCTCGTACGACTCAACTCGCCTACCCTTTGTTATTGAGAAGCGATAATTCCATATCGTTATATTATTGTTGATTTGGCGAGTGTATTATATTTATGCTGAGTCCACTTGACCAGATTGTTATTGCTTATGCCTAGAAAGTCGCTGGTATCTAGAGAAGCTTCAAGAAATTCTATACGTGTAGCTTACAAAGATTTGCGTTGCAGATGGACGCAGTCAAGGTCTACCATCCCCAGGTGATGAATTTCCCACTTTCGTACACGTCTTTCCCCCATTGGTTTCCCCAAAGGATGCATTTTGGGTACAATATACTAGTCACAATGGCGACTCCTCGGTCGACAGGAAAGCTGCAGATGAACTGCTTACCAAGCTGGTGTCATCTTACAAAAACCCATAGTAACTCAGGATTTTTACAGCTAACTGGTAAATGGTTTCTCGTTGTAGCACCAGTTGACCAGAAGTTTCCAATTTGCTCTGCCTCGAGGAGATACCTGAATATCTTGCGTCTCATCTGTATAGTTGGAACATTGTGAAGAGGTTTCATTGACGTGAACACGGCTTGACCTTTTATAGAATTTTCCGTCCTTTTCGTGGTCCCGTATGTCAACTGCAAGACCTCTTTGGTTATCAAAGCCATCTCTGTACTCTCTGAGCCGTAACCCTTTGTGTACATGCATTGCTCCCTCACCCTTCTTCTATCCTGCTCCCACCCACTCCCCCCCCCCTCGCATCTTACGCGACACTAAAATCCCACTACGTCTGTTAAACTGGATCTGTTAGTCCCGTCTTCTTAGATATCACGTCCTTTTCCATTTCTTTCAATTCCGATCCCCGTTTCTACAGGGTAAAACCAAAAATGTTTTCAAGTAAATGGAGTCCTTTTGGGCATACATTTCAACATGTAATTTTTTTAAAGAAATGTTCAGAAAACTCACTGAAAATGTTAGTTACATGTTCGATATTGACCGGTTCAATTTTGAGTCCAGTGAAATCCTTATTAGATAGTGATTCTAGTTTATATTAATTAACTAGGGGTCTTGTATGTAGCATATATAAATACAAAGGTTCAGCTTTAAAGTGTATACATGAATATACATATTGGGTATTGCAAATGCCACCACAATTTGCAATCCACCTTATGTCCCCATAGGTTTTGTGGGTGTGATCACAATTCGTCACCTATTTGATATATATTTTTAAAATAATTGTTTATATTTTGTATTTTTAAAATTATATAAAATTTTAATAAAAAATAATAATTAAATATTCTTAAAAAAAAATTGTAGTAATAATAGAAAAAATTGAAAAGGCATGTGATGTATGGCAAATTGTGGTTGCACTAATAATATCTTATATATATATATATATATATATATATATATATAGTACAAAAATTGGTTTTATTTTGAATATAATAATTAGAAATTTATTATCTAAGTTTTTAATAATATTTTTGCAATGAACAACTTTAATAAAAAAATATCAAATATAATATAATAAAAAATGTATACAATTATCAAGAATTTAATAAATGAAAATAAAAAAGTGAAACTTTTTTCAAAGAAGGATGATAAAAAAGAAATAAGTAAATATGTATATTCAAAAGAAACTAAAATAGCTATTACTAAAAAATAAGAAAATTAGAAACTCTTGAAATTGAATTAAAAGCAAGAAAGAAGTTGATAAAAGTGAAGAAAGCTTCATTCTTGTCTCCATATATACTAACTAACTAAGAGCTACTGAGATAGGATCAGGCTATCTCAAAAACCTAAGATCCTCTTAATCCACAATAATATAAAGTTTCATCACAATATAGGACAAAACAAATTAGAATAAAATTGAAAAGATCTAAATAGAATAGGATATGAAAGACAAAATTGAACAAATGGAAACAAAACAAAACTGAACATGAAGATGCAAAACCAAATTTTACTAAGAGAAAGGATACAAAGCCATACTTGATTAGATGCTCCAAAAGATCTTGATCAGTCCTATTTATACCTTCTTCTACCACCCTAGACTTTTTAGAATGTTCTTAGGTGGTAGGCTCCATCTAGATAACCTCTTCAAAATCCTTTTCTAAAAGGTTCTATGGTGGGTTCCATCTAAATAACTATCCTAAACTCTTTTTAGAATGTTCCACGATAGGTCCTACTTAGTCCACTAACCTAATTCCAATTCTAGAAACTTCCATGATTCTAACTATCTATACAATTATCTTATCTATATCCTATTACAATTACTTAGTGACATTTTATAGGACCTTCGATATGTGTTCAATTTATAACATGCATGTCTTAACTTATGAAGGAAGTTTCTTATATGTGTGTCGCATGGTGAGCTTATACTACAAACTATCAATATATGCAATACATGGTTAGCTTATACTACAAACTACCAATATGTACAATACATGGCTAATGTGTTGGCCAAGTATTCAACCTTCTAATCACCTATAGACATGTATAAAAGTACAATCACATCTATAAAGTTTCTATGAAGCTTTTCTAAAAGCTATTATTAAATTAATCTACTTTCACTTATTTCTATCTATTCATATTATTTAGGTAATTATTATTATAAATATATATGTTCATGACATTATCTCCCTTCTAAGGACAAGTTTCACAAGGAGCAATAATTACATGTTAATAAAGTCCAAAAATATAACAAATTATATTTGCTATATACTCTAGTCTTTATTTTTTTGAAGGTAGTTTATAGATTCTTTTAGCAATTAATAATGTTCTATTCTAAAGTAGGAAGACCACCATTATATTTAATCATTATTGAGGTCTTTATAACTTTTTTCAAACAAAACATTTGTAAGACCATTAGAAGTTGCTCTTACTTTTAATAAAATCACCAAACATTGGGAATCTCTTTTAAGATTGTGATATCAAATACGTTGTATCTCACCATCTATTTAAAAAACATATTATTCTTGAAGATCTTCATTTCTATTATATTATCTTGAGGGCTATGACGATTGTAATATCTTGTCTAGTAAGTTAGCAAACGATAGCTTTTGGATTGAATTTGTTGGCTATTGATTTTTCATCTTATTAGTACCAATAATACAAAAAAATTACAATAAAAGATAGAAGATGGAATGTAATCTTCATTAATCATCTTTTTTTTTATAGTAAAGATTTATTTGATTCTTTATCTTGGTTTTCATGGATGTTATTGATAAAAAACTTTGACTTTCTTTCCTACATTTATAAGATTCTTTGTTGGCTTTTATGTGCATTCACTTATATTATATCCGCTCCAATGAATAAAATATTCCAATCTAAATTGACACCACCTTGAGTCTAAGACTTTTTCTATTTCAAATTCTTGATTATTATCTATTTCTATAGAAGACAATGGCATTTGTCTTCTTTCCAAGATATTTACTATCTTATGTAACTCAAGAAGAGACATGTAAAATACAAGATGGATATTCATAGACTTTGATAGATGTAGTCTATAAATAATTAGATTGACTAGTTTACATATAGAAAATGCTTCAAGTCTATAGTAATCTAACTTATTATAAGGACAAATATTCTTTATATAATAATGAAATAATCAAATATTATTTCTAACATGAAATTAATATTAATTCTTACAAAAAATATTTGTATTGATTTTGAATTTTTTTTAGTTATGCTATTGAAGATCAACAAGATCTTGCATACAGCCACTACATTGAGTTAAACTATAATAAGTTGTTAATAATCAAAAGATATCAAAGGATTAAAACAAGTTATTATGGTGGTGGGTAGGATTTTAGGTAGCAATTAGATTAAGAGGAATTTTTGATTTAGTTGGATGTAACAAAGAAAGATAAATATAATAATAGATGAAGATCCAACTATAAATAAAGAGTGTTGGAAGTGAGAGTTATTGTATTCCACACTTCTCTTGGATGCAACCTTGCTGATACTAAGTGTTGTCGCTTCTAACTTCTCTTTCTTCAATAGATTATGGATCCACTCACATTTCATTGTGAATTTGTTAAAGCTATATGAAGTCTTTATTGTTGTGTGGAATAGTTTATATTATTATTACTGATGTTAGGATTTTGAAAGTACTAACTTTTAAATTTAAATTTAAATTTAAATCTTTATTTGATTTATACCTTATAATGATGTTATAGAATACTAATGTTATATTTTCTTAGTGAATTAAATCTTTGACAGATTAACTTTATAGTTTCATGTGTTAAAAGAACTTAAGATGCTTAAAAGACCTCTTATGGTGCCTAAAAATGATTAATAAGCATAAAAGTGATAAAAGAATCGCAAATCTAATTTGAAATATTTGTATAGTTCATTGGAATTGTGAGAGGTCGTAGAAGTGAAGTTAAGAGAGTTTTGAGAGTAAAAATACCAATTCATTTACAAAAAAGGTATTTTGAGATTATAAGGCAGCAATATCTTTTTGCTGAATTTGAGAGCTTTAGAACTATTTCTATTGATCTTATTTGATACATCTCTCTTTTAGATTTGACTTCAAGTGAGAGTAAAGGGTTGAGAACAATTGAAAAGTTTAAAAGTGAGAATTTTTACCATTTGAAGGTAAAAATGGAGCTTTTGTTGGCTTGTTTAGATCTTTGAAATATTGTAGATAAAAGTGAAGAGCATCTAAGTATGCATGCTAATATAAAGGAAAAAAAAGACTACAAACATAAAAAAAAAGATATCAAGGGCATGAATCTTGAAGAAAAAAATTCTTAAAACACTCTTGTGTCACTCAAAAGAACTAGAAAGTCACTCAAAGATGATATGGTATTAAACTAGAATGATTATTGCTAAAGATAAGAAGACTAGAAATTCTTAAAATAATTCTAAAGATTAGAAAGACATTGAAAAGAATAAAGAAGACTTCACTCTTGCCTCCATATATATTCTTAACTAGAAGCTATGTGGCCATGTCTTATAGAACCTCCAAAATATGTTGACTTTACAAGACATATATCTTAACATGTAAGATAAGTTGTTTATATATATGCCACATAGTTAACTTATTCCACGAGCTACCAACACATGATTATCATGTTGATTAAGTTTTTAACCTATTAATCAACTATAAATACATGTAAAGTCAAAGCAATGTCTTTGAAGATTTTTGGAAGCTTTTCTAAAAAATATTATGAAATAAATCTATTTTTATCTACTTCTACTTAATCATATAAAATAATATTCAAGTTAATATATATGTTTGTGATATTACCTCGCCTTCTAAGAATAAGTTCTATAAGGAATAATCTTCATATGTTGAAAAAATCCAAGATGTGACAAATTATTTTTGTCACATATTTTGATCTTTATTATTTTTAAAGATGGTTGATAGGTTTTTTCAGCCATCCATAATATCTCATATCAAGGTGAGAAGACCACCCTATTATTTGGTTGTTATTAAGGCCTTTATAACTTCCTTCAAATAAAACATTTGAAATATTGTCAAGAATTGTTACTATGTCTAATTAAATTATCAAACATGGGGACTCTATTTTAAGATCATGATATCAAATATATTATATTTTTCCATCTATTTGAGGTAAGACATGTCATTCTCAAGGATCTTCATCTTGATTATATTGTCTTAAAGATTGTGACAATTGTAATGTCTTGTTTGATAAGTTAGTAAATAAAAGTTCTTGAGTTGAATTTGCTTATTGTTGGTTTTCCATCTTTTTAATATCACAAAGATACAAAAGCTACAAATAAGGGTAGAAGATAGAATGCTATCTTCTTTGAATCTTATTTCTTTTATAGTATAGATTTGCTATTCTTTATCTTAGTTTTGATAGATGTTGTCAATAAAAAGCATCAATTTTTTTTGTTGCATTTATAAGATTCTTTGCTGGCTTCCATGTTCATTCACTAATATCATACCTACACCAATGAACAAGATATTTTAACCTATTTTGGCACCACCTTGAATTTAATACTTCTTC